GGCTTGTTGGTTGACTGAATTATTAGATCTATACTATGTATAAATTTGTATGTGTTTCTCCTATGACCGGGAGTTTTTGAATGCCTGGTTTGAGTTCTTTATTTTCCGTTTGCGCCCGGACGAAGATTGTACCATTTTTTTGTCAGTTGGCCATAATGTCGGAAAGCCCATGTCAAGTTTTCATGGCATGTCATAGTCTTTATTAAAAACAATTTTTTTTTTTTTTTTTTTTTTTCACCCCCAAGTAGAGCTTTGAAAGAACACAACTGTAAACTACTATAATATTAGGGTTGGAGAGCTTACATGGGGTGGTGGGATTTGCGCCATGTTTTTGCTTTAAAAATCTATAATAAGGTGTGCATTCAGGGATGAGGCGAGGCTGCCCGAGGATGAAGAAACATATCACGGGTTATTGTATAGAGAGGCACACACAGTTCCAGGGCCTTGGTCCAGAGATGGGCTCAGTGTTAGATGACAATCTTTGATACAGTGGACTCCACTTGTCAAATCTGACGTAAGCTGACAAACCGCCTTTTTTTCCATTTTGGCACCAACTTTTTTTATTTGCTAAATTGAAAGAAAGCCTGATCAGTTACCCTACTTGTGTGAAAAAAATCGAATTGAAGCTTTGACTAGTTTTTTTAATAAATTAGAATTCAAATTTCGGAATGACTATTTTTAAACGATTACGCTGACAAAAAAACCCTCTTTTTCTTAAAACTTCTTTGGAGGAAAAAAAGGCGTTTTGTCAGCTTACGTCAGAAATACCTTTATTTATGAACTACTAAAGTTCTCTCTCTCAAAACTTCCCAAAGTAAAGAATTACCTCTGTCCTAGTTTTATTGTTCTTATGGGTTCTTGATAATGTAATGGTTGATATATATATATATATAATATAAGCATGTATAACTAAATAACTTTGTGTAAGATGAACTTTAAAAATCTCATCACAGTTAGTTTATTAAGAACGAAATCCACATTACAAGTATTTTTTTTCTCCTTTATCTACAGTAGTTAATATAAATATAACCTTTCTTAAGATAAACTTTTAAAAATCTTATCGCAATAATTTTAAAAATTAAGAATGAAATGCACACTACTATACTACTACTACAATGTATTTCTGTTAAGAGTAAATGGTATTCTGCTGAGTTCAGCTTGAGGTTTCTGGTGTCTGATCGTGAGTAGAAATTTGTAAGGTTTTTCTTCGCGTACTGAAGAAAACTGAAGAAAGGTGGTGATGTAGAGTGGAGTCAGTAGATACTAACCAACAAACACTTCTCCTGCGTTTTGACACCTTCTAAAGATGCTAGTGGCTACTACAGCACAAAGAATGTCTACTTCTCTAGTTTACTAGTAAATTGTATACAGTAATGTGTTTCTCTTCAAGATCAAAAGAATTTGGCTTTGTGGTATTTATTAAACCATCACATGTAAGAACTTAGTGATTCATACTGTACTCTTTTGAAAGTGAACACAAAGTTATTGAAACGAAATCGTTTCTAAGCTTTTGGTCGTAGGAGTCTGAACCCCAAAAAATGAATTTGATAGTTTTGAAATATTATCCTCATGTGTCGTAGAGCTAATGGAAAAAGAAAAGAAAAGAAAAAGGCAGTTTCTTCATGGCTATACAATGATGACGTAACAAAGCAATAACGTGATTACAGTAGTAGGGATAGTTTACTGTTACTGCTCTTCTCAATAAGGTAATTTCTGGTGTTTTTTTAAATGATTATTTCTTAGGTTCTGTTGATATATATATGACAGGTGAAAGTGAGTCTGTATTTCTCACTGAAGTGTGTGCTCTTGTGCATTGTAAGTTATGACGAATGTTAAAGACTGGATTGATTTCCACAATAAACCACCATGTGAAATGTTGCTCACTGCGTTTTCTTCTTCTTGTGTGCATGTGTGTGTGTGTTTGTGTGTGTGTGTGTGCGCGTGTGTGTGTGTGCGCGCGCGCGCGCGTGTGTGTGTGTGTGTGTTCCACATTGTGCTTAGCTCTTGCTGTTGCCATGTTTGTGAGCTTCAATTATTTTTTTGCGTCATATAGGTCCCTTTTTGTAACCACATGCCTTGTGGGGGGGGGGGGGGGGTGGTTGGTACAGATTTTATTGTTGTGTGTTTTATTCCTTTTTGAGTCTTTTGTGACTACAGTGGGAAATTTTAATGGAAACGTTGCCTTTGATGTAGTGGCAAGGCGCTTTGCCATCGCATGCAGGAGACCCAAGTTCGATTTCCAAGTTAGGAGGTGGGTCACTGGTGGTTGGTGGGTGCTCTGGTGTGGTTTTGCTCCTTCTTTCCTATCAAACGCTTTTTATATTTGTTACTCTCTTGTAACACATCTTATCTTCTGCACTTATATGACCTTATAGTGTTTCAAGTGCCGTGAAACTTACTAAGCTAAAACGAGTTGGGATAATTTTTTACCGAGTATCTGTCTTTCTGCTGGGTTGTTATATATATCCCTCTCAGCCCGGGTTGGCACTGACAGGTGTGGTTGAAGCCTTCCTCCCAAATGATCTAAGTAGTGTTAGTTTAGTTTTAGTAAGGTTTTACGGCGCTCGCAACTGCATAGGGTCATTGTGAGAATGTGAGCGGCTCTGAGAAAAACCCGTCGGAAGGTGCGAGAAGCTATTCTGAGATATCGCTAAAAATAGGCCCTGAGCTTTATTTTTAGCGAAAACGAAATTATATGAAATTCAGAAAGATAGACCATTTCTACATCATATGTTTTAAGAAATTTGCTCAAAAGTGATTGAAAATATTTTAAAATAATTATTTTTGAGGACATATCATCGCCGTATTACGCTGAATTCTTAGACAAACAGGGGGAATATTTACTCAAACGGATAGACACTTCTTTCCACGGGAACCCTCACGTATTATATACCAAAAGAAAGAGAATTTTATTGCCGTTTCGGGAAAACCTAATGCGCATGAATGTGTGAACATTACAAATAGTTCTGTGAGTTGCGCATGTTGTAGTTTCACAGGTTTCACTTCTGAAATGGTATTTGTCATGAATGCAGTTTAACATCTAATGTACCATTTCCTGCCGTTCAAACCAAATATGAACTGTTCCTTATTGACTTTAAGTTCTTTGTTCTGCTCTACGAAGTGTTTTTTTTCGAGTTTACTGTAAGTAAACTGATTGTTTTCTGTTTCCAAGTGGTCGAGCGCTTTTGTTTACATAATTTAATTGATTCAAGATTGCGGATCGATCAGCTGAGTGGCGTATTTCATCGATGTGGAACGATCTCAGTCGGATTGGAATGAGACAAATCACAGACGAAAATGAATTGGATGAACTGATTATTGATTATTTCAATGCAAGACCTATTGATTGTGAAGACAGTAGATTCTAGTTTGGAGGAGGAGACACATGATGAACCAATTACGACGACGACCGTGGCCGTGACACACCCACACACACCCACACCCCCTGCTCATGACCATGATCTGGAATCTGGAACTTCATGAGTCATGAAGAAGAAGTCCTGGTTCCTATTCAACCAACTGGCATAACATCACCAGAAG